ACTACTACTACTACTACTACTACTACTACTACTACTATTACTACTACTACTACTACTACGACTACTACTACGAACTATTACTACTACTACTACTACTACTACTACTACTACTACTACTACTACTACTACTACTACTACTACTACTACTACTACTACTACTACTACTACTCCCTCCTTCTCCTCCTTCTCTCCTCCTTGTCCTCCTCCTCCTCCCCCTCCTCCTCCTCCTCCTTTTCCTCCCCCCCCCCCTCCTCCTCCCCCGTCCTCCTTCCTTGTCCCCTCCCCCCCTTTCTGGCCGCAGGGTGTCCCTCAGTGCTATCCGAAAGGCCCTGGTGGCGCCCGCTCGGGTGCTCCATGACAGACCGTGAGGTTGGGGCACCACCAGCCGGGGGCACCTCTCGTTTCTGGTCAACATTCAGGGCCTGAAGCGGAGGAAGAGGAGGAGGAAGAGGATGGAAAGGACGAAAAGCAGTAATAGTAGGAGGAAGCATAACAAAAACAATAGTCAGAAGAGGAATGCTACCCATATCAACAAATACAGTGGTACTACGAAGACGAAGAACAGGAACAGGAGGTGGACGAGGAGGAAGACGAAGGGGACGAGGAGGAGGAGGAGCGGGAGGAGGAGGAGGAAGCGAAGGAGGAGGAGGAGGAGGAGGAGCGCGAAGGAGGAAGGAGAAGGAAGGGAGGGAGGAAGGGAGGAGCAGGAGGAAGGCGAAGATCGAGATCAGCGGCCCGATCGAGCCCTCATCGACAGATCGGAGGTGGTCGACCTTGTTGGCGATTCCTGAGGCCCCCGCCATCTGGGCAGGAGCCTGGGGAAGGCTCCCGCAGAGCACTGCTGGCCCCCGCGCGCCTCTTGCCCTGGGCGACCAGGACCTCTCCACGGGAAGAGGAGGAGGAAGAGCAGGAGGAGGAGGACCAGTGTAAACCCAAGAGACATCAACGATGTTAGAATTAACCCTTGCTCCAAGCTCCCTCTTCATAGGTCCCATACAACGGTTCATTTCCATTGAAGGAACTGCCTCGTTGGAAGACAACGGTTTGAAGATCCTGAAGCATGCCAAAACATTGTTCTCGGGATTTCAACGCCACGGATCAACCTGACTGCTGTGTCTTGACGATCCGGAATAATGCCAGAGCGCCATTGTTGGGACTTCGACACCGCGAATCAACATAACTGTTGCGCCCGCATAGTCCTGAATCCTTCCCAAACACCATTTATGGTACGTTGATCATGGGGACCCGTGAAACTCTGAATCTCTTGCAAATGTTCAAAAAGCATGTGCGCGACGCTTAGGCGAGAGCCACATGTTGAAAACACCTTGCCCTCAATCCGTGAAGCTCTTGCAAATGTTTCAAAACGAATGTGCGCGGCGCTAAGGCAATAACCACATTTTGAAAACGACCCGCCCTCAATCCGTGAAGCTCTTACAAATGTTTCAAAACGAATGTGCGCGGCGATGAAGCGAGAGCCACATTTGGAGAACGACCCGCCCTCAATGCGCGAAACTCTTGCAAATGTTTCAAAACGAATGTGCGCGGCGCTGAGGCGAGAGCCACATGTTGAAAACCACCAGCCCTCAATCTGCGAATCTCTTGCAAATATTTCAAACGAATGTGCGCGGCGCTGAGGCGAGAACCACATTTTGAAACCGACCCGCCCTCAATCCGTGAGGCTCTTGCAAATGTTTAAAACTAATATGCGCGGCGCTAGGGCGAGAGCCACATTTGAAAACCACCCGCCCTCCATCTGTGAAACTGTTGCTGCTGTCACTTTTAAAGTTTCAGGGTCATAGCTGGTGAGGAAGTGTCAGGCGAAACGCCTGGCCCGCCCTAAAGAGTGGCCTCGGGGTGCGACAGGGAGAAAATATTCATAAGGAAGAAGAATGGAGGAGGACGAGGAGGAGGAGGAGGAGGAGGAGGAGGAGGAGGAGGAGGGGGAGGAGGAGAGGAGAAGGAAGGAGGAGGAGGAAAGGAGAGGAAGGGAAGGAGGACGAGACGAGGAGGGAAGAGAGAGAAGAGGAGAGGAGGAAGGAGAGAGGAGGGGTAAGAGGGGTATAGGGGAGGAAGGGAGGAGGAGGCGAAGGCCGTCCTGGACGAGGACCTGCGCCGGGCCGCGCACAAAGGGGAGGCGTGCGAGGGGGGAGCGGCCGGCTAAGAAGGGTTGGTGGCCTCGTGGGGGAGATGGGGTTCGTCCGGGTCAGGGACCTCCTCTCCTCGTCCTCCTCCGCCTCGCTCCCCCTCCTCGCTTCCTCCTCCTCCTCGCTCCTCCCCAGCTCCCCTCCTCCTCCTACCCCTCGGGCTCCTCCTCCTCCTCCCCTTTTTCCTGCCTCCTCCTCCTCTCCCTCCTCCTCCTTCCTCCTCCCTAGCTCCGCCAACTCCGCCATATATATATATGCTTCCGCCTCCGCCTCCTCTTTTTCCTTCGCTCGTCCTCGTCCTCCCTCCTCCTCCTTCCCTCCTCTTCTCTCCCCTTCCTTCTTCCGCGCTCCGCCTCCTCCTCCCACCCTCCTTCTCCTCTCCTTCCTCGCCTCCCTTCCCCTCCTCCTCCCATTTGTCTCTCCTCCTACTCTTTCCCTCCTCCTCAGTCCTCCTCTTTCATCCTCCTCCTGCTGCCTCCTCCTCCTCCTCCTCTCCTCCAGCTCCACCGAACGCGTCCTCCGCATCCTCCAAGAGTCCCGACGGGGAACACCGACTCCAGAAAATCGCGGTGGGCCCGAGCCCCTCAATTTCACACTTGTGTTTATTGCTTCTTCTGGCCCGGGACACGGTCCCCCGTATTTGATTAGCCCACAACGCCTGCGTACACTACATCGACTGTGAGCACCACGGCGCTTGTGTACACCAAAACGCCTGTGCGCACAATCGTGCCTGCGAACATCACAGCGCCGCCAGCTACGAGCGCCGCGCTACGAGCACCGCCCCAACGCCTCTGAGGAATAGAGCAGCACTGCGCCCCTGAGAGCACCACAAGAGCGCAAGCGCAGCGCTACCTCGAGAATGCCATGGCGCATGCCGGCGCCACAGCATGCCTGTGTGAACACCACAATAGCCTGCGAGCGCTACAGGACGCCCGTGGTCGCCCCGGGACGACAACCGTGACGTGACCCTGGGGGGCCGGGGGGGCGGGGCGATCCCGCCCGTTATCGCCCAGAAGGGGAAACACGTGCTCCTGAAAGCTACAATGGAGACCCATGCCAAGAAACACCCTGCTTTCCTCCAGGGTGCCCTGGGTTTCTTGGGGCTCGCTGGTTTTGCCGTGGAAAGCGAGACGTTTCCACACCAAAAATCCATGGACGTCCTGGGGTCTCAGGGTTGGGTTTCTCGTGGAAGGTTCCTTGTGCACTGGCCTCCACCGTACCCCGAGGCTGGGCAGCCTCCGGGAAGCACCCAAAATGCCCAGCGAGCCCGCACCCACAAAGCCGCGCTGGCGCAGGGCCACTCTTGCGAGCCGCCGGCAGCAGCAGGAAGGCGGGTGCGGCCGGGACCTCGGGCTCCCGCCCCCGATTGACCGTCGGGTGCGGCGAGGCCAGCTCCTGGTCGTCGCTGCCGCCGTCTGGGCTGCCCTTCCCGTCGCTTTTTCGGTCGCACTCCGCGGGGTCCCTCTCGTCCTCTTCCTCCTCCTCGAAGCGGGAGCACGATAGGCACAAGGCACCTACGGAAGGTTCGCGCGGCGTCGGCGCGCGCAACGGTTTTTGACACCGCGTTGATCGCTCAACCTTGACTCGATCGCGGCCACGATCATTCAAGATTGAGTTCAGTCGGGCCCAGTGCCGTCGCCGTGCCCCTCGGTGCTTCCGCGCTGCAAAATTCAACCTTGAATGCTTTCGCTGGCGTCGCCAGCGCGCCATCGCCGCATGAACCCGCCCTACATTAGAAGAAGAAAAAGCGAGATAAACATAAACTTTTGGCGCTCCGCGCGGATCTCTTAAATCTGCGCTGGACTCCCCTCCCGGGCGCGCGGAGCGCGCCAGGGGCGGCGCCGGAGGCGCCGCCAGGGGGGGCCCAGCGCAGATCCAAGAAATCCCCGCGGAGCACCACAAGTTGAACGTTTCTGGCGCTGTTGCTTCTTCTGTTTCTGGGGGCGAGGACCATGGATGGGCCTGTTCTCCACCACCACCACCACCACAAGCAGGAGGGGGATGGGGTCCTCCTCCTCCTCCTCCTCCTCCTCCTCCTCCTCCTCCTCCTCCTTCCCCCCTCGCATTTATGGTGGTGGTGGTGGTGGTGGTGGTGGTGGTGGTGGTGGTGGTGGTGGTGGTGGTGGTGGTGGTGGTGGAAGACCGGCCCAGCAGCCACGGAGGAGCGCCAGGACGGAGCCTCCGCCGGAGTGGTCCTCTTGGTGCGGGCCCACACGCAGGGCTCGCTCCTGGACAGCGGCCCTGCGCGCCTGGGGCTCTGGCTCGCCCGCGGCCCCTCGGGAGCGCCGCGCGCCAAGGGGCCACGCCTGCCTTGGGTCGGGCGCGTCCCCCTACAGGCGGATTTTGGGCGAAGGAACAAGCATCAAAACAGAGCATCAAAGGTGGTCAAAAATACTCCAACAATCGTCCCCATTCTGTTTTGAGGACTGTTCTTGACTACTCCTCCTGTAGAGGGACGTGCCCGACTTAAGCCTAGGGTCACTCTTGCGTGTAGCCGACCGCAATAGAGGGCCGAAAGTCCACACCAAAATAATCACCCCGACAGGAAAAGCCGTTTAGCAAACGCCACCAAGGAGTGAATCGAGCAGGGCAGGGCTTCCAGTAAACGCCCAGGGCCGTTCCGTGAACGCCCATTGTCCGGCCCGGGTGGTGTTTCCCCCCTTGACGGAGGACCCTGAGATCCTGGCCTCGCCATGGAGGATGAGGAGGAGGAGCGTCCTGGAGCATGGGGGCCATGGAGGGGGCCTCCCGGAGCATCGAGCCCCGAAAGAGAGGCGCGCATGCCTGGCCAGGGCTCTCTGGGGACCTTGGCACGGCGGGCGCGCCCGTCTGCCCGAGGGCCGGGAGGGCCCCCGAGACACCCTGCGCGGGAGCGGCCCGCCGTCGCTCGGGCGTGTGGCCCCTCGGTGCAGTCCTCGGCGGTCGTGCGCGTCTTTCCGCTGCTGGCGTGGAAAAAAGACGCCCATCGAGAGACGACGCTGCAAAGTGCCCGCCCCCGGACCCCCCACATTTCAATGCTGCGTTCGCGGCCACCGTCGCGGTGCAAGAGTCGGCAATGAAAGAACGCCCAGATCTTCATCGCCAAGGCAGCCCCGTTCTCAGCATTGAGATTGGGGCTACGGGGGTCCTGAGTACATCAGCGTTGACCTTTACGCCGCCTTGTGGGCGCTTTTCACGCCAGTGGCGGTTTTTCGGGGCTCGATGCTCCAGGGCGCTACCTCCATGGTCCTCGCCCCCGCAAACAGAAGAAGAAGCAGCGCCATGACCATGGCTCGATGCTCCAGGACGCTCCCTCCATGGTCCTCGCCCCCACAAACAGAAGAAGAAACAACGCCATAACCATGGCTCGATGCTCCAGGACGCCTCAACCATAAACTTTGGGCGCCCCGCGCGGATTTCTTGTAGCTGCGCTGGACCCCTCTTCCTGGCGCGCGGAGCGCGCCGGGAGCGGCGCCGGAGGCGCCGCTGGGGGGGCCCAGCGCGGATCCAAGAAATCCGCGCGGAGCGCCAAAAGTTTATATTTATGGCGTTTTCACTCAACCAAAAAATGCACGTCCGAGCGAACGCCAAGAGAAGACCTGCCCAAACGCAAACGTTCGGAGGCTCTCGCGGCTTCCTCGCGTCGGCGCTGGGCTCCCCTGGCGCGCTTCGGCTCCCCGCGCGCCAGGGGGCAGGGGGGCTCCAAGGCAGGCCTATAAGAAGTCCGCGCGCCCCTCCCGAAGTTTCTGCTCGTGCCGGCTTGCTGCCGTCCGATCGCTCCTCCTCCTCGTCCTCTTCCGTCTTCGCGTGCGTCCGCTTCTCCTTCTCCTTCCGGGAGCGGCAGAAGCACTGGCGGCAGACATCTCCCCTCGGCACAACGCCCGCGGGGAACTCTCCCGGGTCGGCGCCGGACCTCTCTCCCCCGGCGCGCCGGAGCGCGTCGGGGGTCGGCGCGGGGGGGCGCCGCCAGGGTCAAGTCGGGCGTGTCCCCCGACAGGGGGGATCTTCGACGAAAAATGAAAGAAATGCTCCAAAAATATTTGAACAAAAATCGCCCAAAAATAGTCGGGGGACATTTTTTCCAAAAATATTTGAACAAAAATCGCCCAAAAATAGTCGGGGGGCATTTTTTTCAGTATCTTTCACTTTTGGGGGTATTATTTGGGAGGTGCTTTTTATCTTTCGTCGAAGATCCCCCTGTATGGGGGACAGGCCCGACTTCACGCCAGGGGGGTCCAGCGACGGTCCCAGAAGTCCGCGCGGACCTCCGAGAGCTCGCGGTCGGGCTCTCCTGCTCTCGGCGCGCCGCTGCGGCGGCGGCCCCGGCGGCACGCTGCGCCCTGCGAGAGGGCAGCGGGTCGCCCCGCTCCGCGGGGCGGGAGGCCGGGAGAGGCTCGGGACGTTGACGCGTGGATGCAGGGGCCCCAGGACACACAGAGAAATACACACAAACAAAACTATCCCCCACATGTTCCCATATTTTCGGGGTTTTTGCCTTCCCCCCCACTTCCCATATGTTCCCATAGTTTCCTCGGAATCGACGACTAGTTGTGTCTGTGTGTTTTTTTTCCCCTCCTGATTGGAGGGGGGGGCGCGGACAGCGTGTCGCTCCGAAGCGCGGAAGGGCAAGAGAGCCAGCGGCGCAGCCCGCTCGGCCAGAGCTCCCGACCGCACTGTGAGAGCGTTGTCCCGTGCGGCGCTTCGGCATCGGGCGGGGGGGGGGGGGCCCAGACCCCCTCGAGTAATGAAAAAATCATGACGGGAGGTTTTTCCTAATTTTCGGCCTCCGGCGGCCCTCGCCGGGCCTCGGGAGCGTCAAAAAACGACTCAGGATGCAAAGCCGGTCATGGGGAAAGGGTCGGGACCTCTGGGGGTCGACGTAATGAAAAAATCATTACGTCGGGGGTCTGGGAATGCGGCTGTTTGGAACCGTGCGTCCTCTGGGGGAGACTCCCCCTGCTCGAGACGGACGCCCCAAACAGCCAAGATCTACTCCATGGAGGGGGGGTATTCAGGGGGGGGGTGCGAGGGCCCGCGCCGATCGGCAAAACAGGGGATAAAGAAGCGGTCGCATGGCTGTTCCGCTCTTCTTCTCTGGCCTTCTGCTTCTTCTTCTGCTTCTGCTTCCGCTTCTTCTCCTCCTTCATGGCCTGCGCCTCGACCTCGGTGGGAGCCACGAGGCGGCACCGCCGCTCCCCGGACCTCCCCCTGGGCGCCTCCTGGCGAGGACCTCGAGGCGACTCCAGCCGCGGCGACGGGGGTCCTCGTGGTGCGCGAGGAAAGGAGGAGGAAAGGAGGAGGAGGAGGAGGAGGAGGAGGAGGAGGAGGAGGAGGGGGAGGAGGAGGGGAGCGAGGAGGGAGGAGGACGAGGACGGACGATCGAGACTACGATTATATCGGGCGACGTGGCGAGCAAGTGAGTGGTGCCCCATCAACCCTATAAACGTCCGACGACGGGACTTCTCGATCCGCGGGGGGCACTTTGCGGCCCCGGATCCGCTCTGCATGGCCCCGGAGCGCGGCCGGGGCCCTCGGAGGCCGCACTGTGGCCCGAGCAGCCGGGCCGCCGATCCGCGAGTCCCGTGGAGCCGCGCCCCGGGACGCCCCGACCGCTTCCCGGGGGATCGCCGTTCGTCCCGGAGAGAGCCGTTCCTGATCGCCCCGGGGCTCAAGGAGGGCCTCTCGGGGGCTCCGACGTTCAGGAGAGGAAGCCGGCGGGACGGAGCCATGCCGCCCGAGACCCGGAAAGAACACGCGCCGTCAGCTACACGCCAGAGTGACTCCCTAAGCTCGAGTGACCTTTGGTGTGTGGCTATGGGGGGGGCGCGAGGGGGCCAAACTCGAGCGCGCAGGCCGCTGCCATCGCATCGCATTCGGCGATCGAGGGGGCCCCATGGGCCCGCACCAAAGGACACTCCAGTGACTGTGACGTCAGCAGTGTCTGTATCTTTCCCCAAAGGCCCGATGTTTGAATTTTTCGAGACGGGGACCGGGGACCCAGAAGCCCCGACCACTTCCCCCGGTCCGGCTTTTCGTCCTGAGTCGATGTTTGACGTTCCCGGGTCGTGGCGACCCCAGAGGCCAACAAACAACGAACAGCCTCCGGCCATGATTTTTCGTGAAAGCCCCCGCCTCACAGTACCTTTGGACTCGACCATATGGCCCGCCAACGAAAGCACGGTCGCACACCAATGTCTTTTTCGTTTGCGACGACGGCCCTGCCTCACAGAACCTTTCTGGACCTGGCTAGTGGCACGCTAATTTCCACCTGATTGTGCACTGCTGATTGCTGCAGTCGAGACGACGCAAAAATCTGAGAAGCGAGCCCTTCGAATAACATTTGTGGGCCAAACGTCACTAGCAGCTCACTGGTGGGCCACAAGTCGATCACTCGGGGGTTAAAGCCGTAAGCGGGCCATTAGCGGGCCAAATTCATGCGTTTGCCATTCGCGGGGTCATTAGTGGGCCAGTAGCGGGGCGGTATCGGGCCGGTGGTGGGGCATGAGCAGTGCGAGAGAAAAGCAAGGCACCCCAAGAGCATCCCGAAAGCGCAACATATGTTCAGATTCGAGGCCATACGCCTCACGGAACAGGTTCACGGGCCACACCTCTTGCTGATCTGAAGGCAACCTCTCCCTAAGGGTTTTGCCACGACGAGAGGAGGTGTGGTCTCCAGGCCACTCAATAGGGGCCCGACCACAAGAAACCTTCCACAAGGAACCCAACCCCGAGACCCCAGGGCGTCCCTGGATTTTTTGGTGTGGGGACGTCACGCTCTCCATCGCAGAACCATCGACTCCCAAGAAACCCACGGCACCACCCTGGAGGCAAGCAGGGTGCTTCTTGGCGTGGGTCTCCACGGTAGGCCCCCGATACCAAATTCCGCTCCGCCCTGGGAAAGCCGGGGCTGATCGGGCACCCCATCGGCGAGGGGTGGGCGATGGAGGGTCGAGGCCTCCCCCTCTGAGCCAGTCCCGCCCGGCTGTGCGGGCCCGAGCTCGAAACTCAGACGGCCGTTCGGGGCGATCTGGACACCCCCCGGAAGGCCCTCGGGTGCTTCTTGGCGCGGGTCTCCGCTGCACCTCGGGTCTCTGGCGGCCGTTCGCGACCACCCGGGCCCGCCCGGCACGCCCTCGCCGGGGCGCGGCTGCTGGAAGGCACCCCGCGGCGGGAGAGAGCCGCCGAGAACCGACGCGGGCGTCAGCAAACCCCGGTCTTGATTGGCGAACGTTCTCTTATGCGGCGTCTCGACATTGGGCGGAGGGCGGGGAGGGGGTGGGTCTGGCTCCGGACCTTTGCTCAATGCGACTGTTTGCAAACATTGCGTCCTAGGAAGACTCCACTGGAGACTCCACCTGCCTGAAACAGGCGCCCACAACAGCCAAGATCTACTCCATGGGGGGGGGAAGGGGGCCCGCGCCGATCGGCAAAACAATGAATAAAAAACGATCACCGGTTGTTCGAGGCGTTGGACGTCTCGGCGTTGGGGAAACCAAAAGGTACCGATACCGATATTTTACGGACCTCTCCAGGGGCGCGTTCTGGCCTGGATCTGAAGACGAATCCGGCGGTGTGGACGAGGCCTCCCAGGAGGCCCGAAAAGGGAAAACGAGGCGAGGGTAGCGGTATCGGTACTCCTCCACCTCCTCCTCCTCCTCCTCCTCCTCCGCCTCCTCCTCCTCCTCCTCCTCCTCCTCCTCCTCCTCCTCCTCCTCCTCCTCCTCCTCCTCCTCCTCCTCCTCCTCCTCCTCCTCCTCCTCCTCCTCCTCCTCCTCCTCCTCCCCTGAGGATTGCTCCTCCGAAGGCCTCCTCGATGAGGGCCTGCGCCGCGGCGGCGGCCGCTTCGCTCTCGGCGGCCTTCGTGGGCTGCTCGCGGGGCGCCGTGGCGGCCCGGAGCTCCTTGGACATCTTCGGCAGCCGCGGCTCGCGCAGCAGGAAGCCCATGGCGGTCTCGCGCAGGTACACGAGGAGGCAGGCGCGGGGCTCCTCTCGCGCGAGCAGCGGAGAGGCGGAGAGGGAGGAGGGGGGGAGGAGGAGGAGGAGGAGGAGGAGGAGGAGGAGGAGGAGGAGGAGGAGGAGGAGGAGGAGGAGGAGGAGGAGGAGGAGGAGGAGGAGGAGGAGGACAGCAGCGTTCTGGATGACAGCTACCTCAAGGCTACGCCGGCAGCGTTGGAGGCAGCGTACGCCGCCGCCCCCGCCGCCTTCGGCCGAGTGGGCCTCCGGGTAAACGCGGCAAAGACGCAGGTGTGGAACCCTTGGGGCCTGCAGCTCCCGGCGTGCCTGGCCGGGAAGGTCGTGCCGCAAATGCAGTGCTCTGGGACGCTCCTGCCGTTCGTGCGCGGCGGAGCGGCTGCAGAGGGGCTCAGCGCCGACCCAGCGAGGGTAAGCTTCACGCCGACGGCGGTCCCCGCGGCGCCGGCCGAGCACCTGACCGCATTACCTCGGGAAGCTGCGCGGCTTGCGGGCGCACGGGCTCAAGGCGCAGGACGAGGTGGTCCTCGTCAGGACGTTCGCGAACGGGGCGGCGCTGCACCATGCGCGGGCGCACCTCCTCAGCGAGGAACGGTGCCCGGACTACGACAACAAGGTGGTGGGGCACCTAGACGGCCTGCTCAGGCGACCACTGCCGCCAGACGCGCGGGAGCAGCTTTCCCCCCCCTGGCGGAGGGGGGGCTGGGCGTGCACAGCATGGCCCAGCGCAGGCTCGCCGCCTTCGCCGGCTCCTGGCTCGGCTGCCTGGCAGACGTCTGGCGGGAGCTAGGCGAGGCCAGCTTGCGAGCTGCCCCGACCTCTGGGCCGCGGCCGAGCAGGCGGGCAACGCGCTCCGGCTCGGCGCTGACGAGTGGCTCAGGGCCGCGAAAGGCGCAAAAGGAGCTCGCGCGCCACGAACGGGACGAAGGCCGGAAGCGGCCCGGAAACGGCTCCTGGCGGCTCTGCCACCAGAGCAAGCTGCCCAGCTGCGCTCGGCGAGTGGGAAGGGGGCTGGCAGCTGGCTCCTATACCGCCGACGCAGGACAACCATCGCTTGGCGGACGAGAACTACCTGCCGGCGCTGGCGCTGCGGCTCCGCCTCCCGAGGCCCGCTGACGCATGCGCCACTTGCCAGCGCCGTCGCGCCGATGGGCAACTCTGCGGAGCGGACCTCGCTCGGGACCCGACTCACCCCCTGGGCCGCCACGCCGGCGCGGGCACGATCGCGCGCCACAGCGCCATTCGCGATTGGCTAGCAGGCTGGCTCAAGGGGCGCGGAGCGAGGGGCGTGGGCACCGAGCAGCTCGCTCGTCCCTGCTTGGGACAGGGTCCTCCAGGATGGCCGCCTGGAGGCGACGCGGCTGGACGTGACCTTCGTGGACCCGGTGGCGGGCACCATGTACGTGGACGTTGTATGGTGACGGACGCGGCCACCGAGGCCGCGACGCCGGCGGGACGGGGCCGGGCTTTACGCGACGGGGCCGCGGCGGCCGCAGCGCGGAGGAGCGCAAGCACCGCCGCTACCCCAGCCTGGCGCTGCGCGCTTTCGCGCTGGAGACGTTGGGCAGGCCAGGGTGCGAGACGCAGGACCTCCTGCGCACCTGGGCGGCCGGCGACGAGGCCGAGCTCTCGGCAGCGCGCCAGAGCCTGGCCGCCGCGCTGCAGCGGGCCAACGCCGAGGCGCACAACGCCTCGGTGTGGACGCCCGGGCGGCGCGCCCGGCCGCGCCCCCTAGAGACGCTGAGCGGCTGACCGACGCACTGCCCGCCCGAGGCCGGCCCCCTGGGCTGGGCGCTGGGGGCGCTGGGCTGGCTGAAGGCGCGCGGCGCGGCGCTGGCGGGGGTGCGCCAGGGCGGCGGCGCCGGCTCCTCGGCGCGGCGGCCGCGCAGCGGCAGCGGGCCGGGCGGCGGCCCGAGCCGCCCAGGCCGCGGGCGGCGGTGAGCGGGCGCGGGGCAGGCGCGGCGGCCGCTGTCGGCGGCGCGGCGGGCGCCCGGCGCAGCCGGTGGCGGGGCAAAGGCTGGCGCGCGGGGGCGGCGCGAAGGCGGCCGGGGCGACTGCGGCGCTGCTGGGCCGGGCGGCGCCTGGCGGTGGGACCGCGCTGGTGCTGCACTTCCCGAAGGAGGTGTGGCGCCTGGCGGTGGGACCGCAAGCCGCTGGCCACGCGGCCTCCTGTACGTCGCCGCCGCGCTCCTGGGTATGCAAGGTAATGGCCACGGTCGGCGTACCCCCTCGGCTCTGGGGCTTGCTCGCCGCTGAGCGGCGTGCTTGTCCTGGGGTTGGGGGGTTGCGCCGGCTCCCGATCATGGTGCTTCCAGCGTGCGATAGACACGCGGCCGCAGGAGGAGGGAGGAGGAGGAGGAGGAGGGGGAGGAGGAGGAGGAGGAGGAGGAGGAGGAGGAGGAGGAGGAGGGAGGAGAGGAGGAGGAGGAAGAGGAAGAGGAGGAAAAGGAGGAAGAGAGGAGGAGGAGGAGGAGAAGGGGAGGAGGAGGTGGGAGGAGGGGGGGAGGAGCAAGCAGGAGAAGGAAGAAGGAGAAAGGAGAAGGAGATAAGAAGGAGGGGGGGAGGAGGAAAACGACTAGGAAGGAGGAGGGAGTGAGGAGGAGGACGAGGCGGAGGAGCAGGATGAGAGAGAGAGAGAGGCGGGGAGGAGGAGGAGGAGGAGGAGGAGGAGGAGGAGGAGGAGGAGGAGGAGGAGGAGGATTAGGAGGAGGAGAAGGACGAGGATGAGGAGGTGGCGAAGGACGAGGAGGAGGAGGAAGAGGAGGAGGAGGAATTGATTGATCTAAGAACTGATTCTTCCGTCGAATGTGTTCGCAGCGCGTGGACTGCTTCGTAGACCTGCGGAGCATTCTGCGCATTTGCGGAACAAGAACTGATTCTTCCGTCGAATGTGTTCGCAGCGCGTGGACTGCTTCGTAGACCTGCGGAGCATTCTGCGCATTTGCGGAACATTTTACGCACTTCTCGCAGGCTCGACAGAAAAAATGGGGGTAACATAGGAGCTCGACCACAAGAAACCTTCCGCAAGAAACTGACCCTGAGACCCCGGGGCGTCCCTTGATTTTTTGGTGTGGGAGCGTCACGCTGTCCATAGCAGAACCATCGAAACCCCAGAAACCCAGGGCACCCCGGAGGCAAGCAGGGCGTTTCTCAGCAACTATGCTTTCGACCCCCGACTCGACTCTCGGAGGACTGCGGCCTCGGACCCAAGCCGAGGGGCAACGACAAAGGGGGGGGACGGGCACTGGCGGGGACACGTTGACCTGGACTCGGCGACGCATCGCCGATAGATCGACGATACAATCGGACCGTATCGTAAGGATGCGCGACAAGGATGCAAGGGCCTTGGACGCCCACTTCGAAGCTCATCGAGCGGGGCGCTGCCAACGAACGTGGCCAAGAATGGGCCGGGCGGGGCTTCTCGGAAGGCCTCTGGCCTTCTGAGAGGTTGTCTCTGTTTTCGGGGAGGGCTTTGAACACTTCTCATGAGGCCCGGGGGCTGCCGAGCCTTCTGAGAAGGCCCGCCCCTTCTCGCTTCCCCCCCGGGCTCGCCGCCGAGAAGTGCAAAAGCGCAAACTTCTGGAGCTGCGCGCGGCTTCCTTGGATCGGCGCTGGTGCCCCCCCTGCGGCCCCTCCTGCCGCCCCTCCTGCGCCGCCTCTGGCGCGCCAGGAAGGGGGTTCCAGCGCCGATCCAGGAAGTCCGCGCGGACCTCCGAGATTCGGTGTCCATATTTTGTTAGGTCCATCCTGAACATCGATACCCATCAGTCTTTGAAAGCAAGCATTTTCTGGATTCCCAGATCCCCATCTGCTTCAGGCGCCCCCCCATTTCAAGGGCCCAGCGGTGTTCCCTCTTCTCTCCACTTCGGGGGGCGGGCAGAAATCCGCTCCACGCTCAACGCCGTCCTACTTCGTGCCTCTACCCGCTTCTTCCGACCGGGGGGGCACGGACCCTTCCAGACCTCCGGCGAGATCGCAGGTGCGACACTGGCGCTTCTCTTAGCTCTCGGCCTCCGGGGCCCGCTTTGGGGCCCTGGGACAACCAGTTCCGTTCGGGACGAAGAGTCATGGGAGCAGGCGCTTGCTGGCGCGAGAGTGCCTCGGGCGCGGATTGATTGGGGGGCGATCAGTGGAGGGGGGAGAGAGGTGCCCTTTTCGGATCCTGAGGGCCCCCTCCTGGGCCGTTTAGGGCCGCTTTGGGGGCCCTCAAGGGCCCCTTTGCGGCAGCCCTCGCTGCCCCCCTCCTTGGCGCCCCCCCACTCCCAGACCCGATTTTTGTTTGCATCGTCGCCCCCCAGAAGAGGCCTGGACCCCTTCCCCGGGACCGGCTTCTCATCCTGAGCCGTTTCTTGACGGTCCCGAGGCCCAGTGAGGGCCCCCAGTGGCCGATACTAGCGAAAACTTCCTGTCGCGATTTTTTCAGGGCGCGAGGGTGTCTCTGAGTCTGGGTTCGCCTCGGAATCTCTGGTCAGAGGTCCGTGGAGGAGGAGGAGAAGGAGGAGGAGGAGGAGGAGGAGGAGGAGGAGGAGGAGGAGGAGGAGTATAGAGGAGGAGGAGGAGAGGAGGAGGGAGGAGGAGGGAGGAGGAGGAGGAGGAGGAGGAGGAGGAGGAGGAGGAGGAGCAGCAGGAGGAGCAGGAGGCGCGAGGGGGTCTGGGTTCCGTACGCGCGCTCCGAGTGCCGCTGCCCCTGGGGTCGGGACCTTCTGGGGCCGCGCACTGAGAAGGCCACCTCGTCGGGCCCCCTCACGGGACTTCCCTCGTCGTCGCTGCCGGGCCCGCCTCGAGATCCTAGTCGTGCGTCGGGCATGTCCCTCCCCAGACATGATCGCGTCGTTAAAAAAAATAAGGGCGGCAAGTTGTTTGGCCGTTTTCGGTCTCAGGGAGCCCTCGCCGGGGCCCCCAGGACTGTCAAAGAACGACTCAGGATGAAAAACCGGCCCCGAGGAAAGGGTCTGGACTTCTGGGGACGCCGTCTTGAAAAAATCAGGACGTCGCGTGTCTGGGTCTGCAGGAGGAATATTTCAAGACTGGTAATCAAATCGTTTGGTGACGATTGCTCGTGCTCTCTGGACTATATGTTTGACGATGTTTCGACTATGTTCCATGTCTTTTCCAAGATCCGCCTGCAGGGGGATCTGCCCGACCTAATCCTGGTCAGAACGCACCCCGGGAAAGGGCGTCTGGGGAGTGGCGGTCTCGGATCGCCATTGCCCCGAGATTGCAGCATCGTCAGACATCACGTCCAGAGACACCTAGGCCCGATCTTTCTGCGGCGTTTTTCAAGCCGGGTCGATCTGCGACAGTCCCAGGGGCCGAAGCCGCGCGAAGACGCCTGTCGGGGCGAAGCGGGTGCTCCCAGAGCGCTCTCGGCGAGGCGCAGCTGCTGCCACCCGGGGGGAAAAGCGCCGGGGGGCCGACGAGAACGCCCGAAAACGCACGAGGCTCGCCGCCGAACTTGTTCCTTCCTCGAGACACTTCCTCCTCCTCCTCCTCCTCCTCCTCCTCCTCCTCACTCCTCTCCTCCTCCTCCTCCTCCTCCTCCCTCCTCCCCTCCCCCTCCTCCCTCCTCCTCCTCCTCTCCTCCTCCTCTCTCCTCCTCCTCCTCCTCCCCCTCCTCCTCTGGTCCTTGGGCCTCGTCAGCACGCCGGAGGGGCCGTAGAGGTAGTTCACGCAGAGCCACTCCTCGCCCCCGAAGGAGGCGTCGACGGCCGTCGCGTTCGAGGTGGCGCTGGCGGCGCTGTCGCGGTCGTCGAAGCGGTGCCACTGGCCACGGTCGCCCTCCATCTGCGGGCGGATGTAGGACCTGCTGCTCCCCCTGCTGCTGCTCCTGGTCCTCCTCCTCGGCCCGCCTCGGCCTCCTCCATCCTGTCTATGCTTATCTACCCTCCTCGCTCCCCGTTTCCTCCCTCCTCCTCCTCCTCCTCCTGATCCTCCTCCTGATCCTCCTCCTCCTCCTCCTCCTCCACCACCTCCTCCTCCTCCTCCTCCTCCTCCTCCTCCCCCTCCTCCTCCTCCTCCTCCTCCTCCTCCTCTGGTCCTCCTCCATCCCTTCTCCTTACAGAAGATAACTCCTCCCTGTCGCACCCCGAGGCGGGTCGAAAGGGCGGGCTGGGCGTTTCGCCTGAGACTTCCTCACCATCCATGGGCCTCAAGCTCACAAGCTGACAGCTTCACGCATGGAGGGTGGGTCGCTTCCAAAATGTGGCTCTCGCCTTAGCGCCGCGCAAATTCGTTTCGAACATTTGCAAAAAGTGCACGGGTTGAAGACACATCGTTTTCGACATGTGGCTCTCGCCTTGGCACCGTGCACATTCGTTTTCACGGATTGGAGGCGGCTCGCTTTCAAAATTTGGCTTTCGCCTTAGCGCCGCGCGCATTCTTTTTGAGGATGTGCAAAAATTTTGCGGATTGAGGGCGGTTCCTTTTTGAACATGTGGCTCTCGCTTCAGCGCCGCGCGTAGTCCGTTTTAAAACGCTCTAAGAGTTTCACTGGTTCTCATGGCTAACGTACCAGAAATTCAGTTTTGGAGCGATTCAGGGTTGTCAGGGCGCAACAGTTAAGTTGATTCGCGGTGTTGAAATCCCAGGAATGGCATTCTGGCGCGATTCAGGATCGTCAAGACGCAACAGTCAGGTTGACTCGTGGCGCTGAAGTCCTGAGAGTGGCTTTGGCACGCGTCAGGATTTTCACACGCTTGCCCCCCACATGGAGTACTTCCCTTCGTGGAAATGGATCCTTCCAGGGGCCTACGAAGAGGAAGCTTGGAGGGAGGGTGTATTCCAACATCGTTGATGAGTCTTGGGTTTACACTGGTCCTCCTCCTCCTCCTCCTCCTCCTCCTCCTCCTCCTCTTCTTGTCTTCTTCTTCCTCCTCCTCCTCCTGCCCCTCCTCCCCCTGACTTGTTAGTCGCAGCGCAAGGACCCACATCGCGTTCGAAAATTCTTTGTACCCCAGAAAACCCCAAACGGCCCAAACTTACCGTCGTGACTTTTCACGACGCACGCATGTCTGGATTCTTGCCCGCAGCCTCCCCCGAGAGATACGAAACTGCAAACAAAATGCAACATCGCGGATAATAACGACCTCAGCCATGGACCCCATCTTTCTGCGGCACTTTTCGAGCCGGATCGATCTGTGATGGCCCTGGGGCCAGAAGCTGGGCGAAAACGCCCAATGTGAAAAAACTGCACCCCCAAAATCTCGGGGTCCTTCAGTACGGGTTCCCCGAAATCCCAACCACTTCCCTGGGGCCAGCTTTCATCCCACGTCGTTCTTTGACGGTCCCCGGGCCTGGCGAGGGCCCTCAGAGGTCCAAAACGGCCCAAGAACCTCTCGTGGTGATTTTCCCGACGCGGGCATCGTCTGCATCCTTGATCTCCTCCTCCTTCCCTGAGATCCGACGTTGCAAGACAAATTAACATCGCGGAAAGTCACGACCTCAGCCCTGGACCCCATCGTTCTGCGGCACTCTTCGAGCTGGATCGATCTGCGATGGCCCTGGGGCCCCAAGCCGGGCGAAAACGCCCAGTGTAAAAAAAAGGCAACGCCTGGACCTCCGGGTCGTCCTGCAGTACGGGCCCCCCCAAGTTACCTCCTCCTCCTCCTCCTCCTCCTCCTCCTCGTCCTCCTCCTCCTCGTCCTCCTCCCCCTCCTCCTCCCCCTCCTCCTCCTCCTCCACCACCTCCTCCTCCTCCTCCTCCTCCTCCTCCTCCTCCTCCTCCTCGTCTTCTTTCTTCTCCTGTGTGCCTGTGCTGCCCTCGGGCCACTTCCCTGGGGCCGGCTTCCAGGCCGCGTTTGACAGTCCCTGGGCCCAGCGAGGGCCCCCAGAGGTCCAAAACGGCCCCAGAGCCTCCCGTGGTGGTCTTTCCGACGCGAGCACGTCTGGATTCTTCATCTCCTCAGCCTCCCCTGGGATCCGACGTCGGGAAAAAAGGTAGCATCGCGCAAAATCGCAGCCAGAGCCCTAGACACGCGGCAGATTTTCGAACCGGATCGGCATGTGATGGTTCCAGAGCCGGGAAAACGCCCTTTGTGAAAAAGAAACAACACCCGGACCTCGAGGTCATCATCCTCCCACTTCTTCACCGCTTTTCCCTTTTCCTCCTCATTCACCTCTCCATTATCCTCCTCCTTCACCTCTCTTCCCTCCTCCTCCTCCTCCTCCTCCTCCTCCTCCTCCTCCGTTCTCCTCCTCCTTCACCTCTCTTCCCTTCTACTCCTCCTCCACCTCCTCCTTCACCTCTCTTCCCTGCTCCTCCTCCACCTCCTCCTCTTCCTCCTCCTCCTCCATCCTCTCGTCCCTCTATCCTCTCGTCCCTCTCCTCTCTTCCCTCCTCGCTTCCTTCCTCCTCCTCCTCCTCTTCCTCTTCTTCCTCCTCCTCCTCCTGGCTTCTCCTCCTCCTCCTCCTCCTCGTCATTCAACTCTCTTCCCTCCTCCTCCTCATCCTCCTATTCCTCCATCACCTCTCTTCCCTCCTCCTCCTCCTCTCCTCTATCCTCCTCCTCCTCCTCCTCCTCCTCCTCATCATCATCATCATCATCATCCTCATCCTATCCTCACACCACATCACCACCACCACCACGGCCACCACGGCCACCACCACCACCACCACCACCACCACACCACCCACCACCCATTATCATCATCATCATCATCATCATCATCATAATCATCATCATCATCATCACATCAATCATCATCATCAGCATCAGCATCAGCATAAGCATCAGCATCATCATCATCATGATCATCATCATCAGCATCATCATCATCATCCTCATCCTCATCCTCATCCTCATCCTCATCCGCATCATCATCCTCATCCTCATCCTCATCCTTATCCTCATCCTCATCCTCATCCTCATCCTCATCCTCATCCTCATCATCATCATCAGCAACATCATCATAATCAGCATCATCCTTCACCTCTCTTCCCTCCTCCTCCTCCACTTCCGCCTCCTCCACCTCCTCCTTCTCCTTCACTTCTTTCCCCTCCTCCTCATGGCTGTTCCGCCTTCTGCTCCTCATCATCATCACCATCACAAGCATCATCATCATCATCATCATCATCATCATCATCATCAGCAGCAGCAGCAGCAGCATCATAATCATCATCATCAGCATCATCATCATCGCAATAATCATCATCAACATCAACATCAGCATCATCACAATCACCATCATCATCAGCATCATCATCAGCATCATCATCACAATCATCATCATCATCATCATCATCATCATCATCATCATCATCATCATCAGCATCATCATCATCATCAGCATCATCGTCATTCACCGCTCTGCCCCCCTCCTCCTCCTCCTCCTCCTCCTCCTCCTCCTCCTCCTCCACAGCGTTTCCCTCATTATCCTCCTCCTCCTCCGTAGCTTTTCCCTCATTCTCCTCCTCCTCCTCATTGTTTCTCCTGGCTTAACCTCCTCTTGCTCCTCCTCCTCCCCCTCTACAATTGTTCTCCTCCTCCTCCTCGTTCTCCTCCTCCCCCTTCTCCTCCTCCGCAGCTGTTCCCTCCTCCTCCTCCTCCTCCTCTTCTTCCTCCTCATCCTCCTCCTCCTGGCGAATCGTACTCCTCCTTCTCCTCCTCCACAACTGTTCCCTCCTTAGGGGGACCCAAAAGAAATCTGCTGGTTATGTTGGCACCTTCCCTATGGACTTCTTTATAATGTGTAAGGTCACCCTCCGTGTTCGCCACAACGGAAATCGTTTTCGCATTATGACACAATCCTGTTGTGTTCCGCCACAGGGATGATGCTCTTACATTCGGAAACAGAAGTGACCCTTCTGCATTCGACTACAAGAAGAATCCTGTTGAATGTACGACATTCATTCATAAACCATGCACAGACACAGTTAGTACAGAACTTTTGAATCATTACCCTGGCGACGAACCCAACCCTTGCGCAATGCGGGGCATAAATACATCAGGATTGCTACAACGGGGGCGATGACGTAACATGGACGCATGTGATTTTGCGTGCAGCAATCGTAATGGTTACTAACGCAGCCCCCTCCCCCCCCCCCAGGGACGGCGAGGTCTCGCTCAGGTCCCCGCGGTGCCACACTCCGCTGGACCCAACAGCAGCCCTCGAACGTGGCGAGAATGTCGCAGATCGCAGCCCCCCAGGGGCGGCGAGGTCTCGCTCAGATCCCCGCGGTGCCCCACTCCGCTGGACCCACCAGCAGCCCTTGAAAGTGGCGGCAGCGTCGCAGATCGCAGCCCCCCAGGGACGGCGTGGTCTCGCTCAGATCCCACGCGGCGCCTCACTCCGCAGGACCCATCAGCAGCCCTCGAAACTGGCGACAGCGTCGCAGATCGCACCCCCCCCCCCAGGGACGGCGGGGTCTCGCTCAGATCCGCGCGGTGCCTCAGCCTGCAGGACCCACCAGCAGCCCTCGAAAGTGGCGACAGCGTCGCAGATCGCAGCCCCCGATGGACGGCGAGGTTTACCTCAGGTCCCCGCGGTGCCCCAGTCCGCTGGACCCAACAGCAGCCCTCGAAAGTGGCGACAGCGTCGCAGATCACTGCCCCCCAGGGACGGCGAGGTCTCGCTCAGATCCCGCGCGGCGCCTCAATCCGCAGGACCCACCAGCAGCCCTCGAAAGTGGCGGCAGCGTCGCAGATCGCAGCCCCCCAGGGACGGCGAGGTCTCGCTCAGATCCCCGCGGTGTCTCACTCCACCAGCAGCCCTCGAAACTGGCGAGAGCGTCGCAGATCGCACCCCCCAGGGACGGCGAGGTCTCGCTCAGGTCCCCGCGGTGCCTCACTCCGTAGTACCTACCAGC